AGTCTTTATATTCATTCCATTTAATAACTGAACAAACTGTAAAAATTTTTTGTACAGATTCTTCATTCAATATGATATCAAATAAAAATAGATTTTGTGGTATATAAACACTATCTGTCACATTTTCATTTCCAAATTTTTCTTGAATATTCTCATCAAGTTCCTTTAATTTTAAGGAAATTTCTTCAATAAATTTGTCAACGATTGATCTTTTCTTTGGACTGTAACTCGGAAACTCAGCATTCTTTATATAATTTTCATTTCTATTTCCAAATCTTTCATGAATATACTCATCAAGTTCCTTCAATTTTAAGGAAATTTCACCAATCAGTTTTTCATTGATTGATCTTTTCTTTGAAACACAACTTCGACCATTATTTTTCTTTAAATAATAATATTCAGTTACATTTTCAAATTTTCCTTGAATATACTCATCAAGTTTCTTCAATTTTAAGGAAATTTCATCAATAAATTTGTCAAGGATTGATCTTTTATTTAGACTACAACTAGAAAACTCAATATTCTCAATATAATTTGTATAATTTTCATATTTATTTTCAAATTTTTTTTGAATATACTCAACAAGTTTCTTTAATTTTAAAGAAATTTCATCAATCAGTTTTTCATCGATTGATTTTATGTTTGAAGTATAACTTAGAAACTGATTATTCTCTATATAATTTACATTTTTATTTCCACATTTTTCATGAATATACTCATCAAGTTCCAATAATTTTTTAGAAATTTCATCTATCAGTTCAATTATTAGTTTATCATCGATTGATGTTTTATTTGAAAACTGAATATTCTTTATATTATTTTCATTTTTATTTTCAAGTCTATTGAGATGAAGTTTTATTTGATCTTTAATCAATTTGATTACATTAAAAACATAGTCAGCTTTTAGATAAATATCATTACTTGTTTTATTTTCTCCGAAAAATTTGTCAACTGAATTTGAAAGAATACTAAGCTGCCATAACCACCAAATGTCGTAATTGGATGGTGTACTCAATATTCGTGTAATTCGCTTACCAAATTCATTGAAATGCATTATAAACTCGTCATTTGGTAGTTTGTTATTTAGCCAATTTTGAAATATTTGTAAAATATTTTGGACTTGTACTACAATATTTTTTGGAAATTCAAGTTTATTCCCATTGACCTCACGTTTAAAGAAAGCGATATTAAACAAAACAATGAATACTATCTTTGCTATTTTCATGGTTGCAACATATATTTTCTGAATGAATTGTTTTATTTTATTTTTTCAATTTTAATTTACCAATTCACTATTGAAACGTAACTAAATATAATAGTTACGCACTATTCTATTTATTAATATCTATAAAAGATATTTTTTAGTTTTAAATTGTTACACATAAGTTCTTAAGTAAACACTTTATAAGTGTTGACATATTTTTCTCATAGTAAAATCAACAGTCTTGTAAAATATTCGAATAAAAGTATTTTAATAGTTTTATGTATTTTTACAGAATTTCGAACTCTTTCAAAATATGTATTCCAATACAAAGTGATTATTTTAACATTAGCCAGTCAATATTTCTTAAAATATTAATTTTGAAAAAAAATTTTTTTCAAATTTTTTTTAGTTACACATAAGTCTACATTGATTATTGATTATTAATTTATAGGTCCATCTCTTATGCCTTAATAGGGTATCAACTTTGTTTTTTCAAATGGAAACATATTTTTAGTTTGATTAATTGATATTAATTTTTTTTTCAAAATTAATAGCGTTTGAATTTTTTATTTAAATTTATTCATTTGCTTGTTATATCATTTAAAAATTTTAATTTTGCGAGATTATATATGAGTATAAATACAGGTAGCTAATATAAATGCTACAATATTGTAGCGTTTATGATGTGCTACTTTAAGATATACGTCGGTTATTGTTTTATCGATAGATAAGGTTGTGTTAAGATGGTGTTTATACTACGTTGTTATAAAAATGGATGTTTATGGTATACAATGTTTTGGAAAAAAATAAAGTTCTCTAAGGTTCAGTTTTTCATTTATTCGGACACGAGATTGTGGAATGTTACCTAATTCGTACTTATTATCTACTCTTATATAGTAATGATTAGAGCTCGGATGTTTATGACTTTGCATATTTTTTTCGCGCATTATAAATTAAACCCAAGTATGATATAAATTTGATTCATGAAGTCTAGATTACAATTACGTAAACTTATTTTGCATATTTTTTGTATATTTGACGTTTTTTAGCATATAAATGCATATATTGATTATTTCTAGAAATAGTAGCATATATTTTATAATTTGCATTAAAAATTTGTTTTTGATGAAGATCCGTAGAATACTATGTACAAAAATAAAATTACTTTTGGGATTTAGATATTTATAAATTCGATAATCGATATTAATATATATATATACAGTAAAACGCCAATTAACCGGACGCCAATTATCCGGAACGACGTCTAGACACGTGCGAGCTTCATTTTTCTAAGAATTAGGTTATTTTTATTAAATTTCTTCATTTTACATCATCTGCACGTGTTTTCCTCTATAAAATATGTAAGCACATGATTGGTTATCTGGAATACCGCTGGTCCCAATTAGTCCAGTTAATCGGCGTTTTACTGTATATATATTAGTGATGGGAATTTCGGGTCAATCGAACGATCCGGATCGTTCAAATGACCCGTTCTTATAACTCGTTCTTTCGTTCATTTCTTACGATCGGTCACGGTTCTTATCAATTACTCCTTACTATTGTTTTCCTGAACGAGTCGTTCAAATTCGCATTTTCACCATGTAACATTACCGTAATATCACAATTTTTTCTGATAATACACTTGTATAATCGGGTTATATATTATTTTTTCAAATACAAATTACTTGAAATAACATAATATGCTGTTATACACGAATATTTTTGTATAGAATAAAAACAAATAATTTATACTAGCGGATGAGTTGCGGTACATAAATCCATAGAATTTGTTTCTATAATAAGCGAAATCATTTAAATTATTTGTTTTCATAAAAGGAGTTTTATAGAGAAATTAATTCACCTAAATCAGATATTACAATTTACAGCAGCTATGACCAGATTATAAAAGAATGAGGTGGTTTAATACCTCTCACAACAATTATATTAGTCTAATAGTCAATTTTTGTCCTAGTTGCTAAATTCACTAATTCATAGACCTATTTTCGCTTATAAATAATTATATGAATGTAATATTTATGAAATAAATAGCTATATATTGATAATCAAAATTGTTCTTCAAATGAACAATATAGTAGGATACTTGAAATAATCGAACTGTATTAAACCTGCATGATTATGTTAGTAGAAACATGTCACAACTTTGAAAATTTAGTCTACAGACCTGCAATAAAAATGTTTTTATCACAAACCAAATAGTGTTGCTTTTAAACTCTCATTGGCAATAAGTATTTTTTTATTTAATTTTTTAAAAAAACATTATAAGTATAT